AGCAGCCATGGCACGAATTTCCCAGCCACCCTTTTCATTCCCAAATCTTCTGTCAAAATTCACTGAACTGAGCTCCAAGTCACTCCCGACAGCTCCACAATTTCTTCAATGGTCTGTCGTCGATCTTCCTTGATGATTTCACGATTTTTTCCAACATTTACATGTGTTCAGGCCGTGGAAGGATGACCAGAACGAGGTTTGTCATCAATTGACATTTCACCATTTTTGAAACAGGAAAACCATTCAAACACTTGAGTTTTCCCCATAGCATCGTCCTTGTATGCCGTTTTTAACATTTCAAGAGTTTCTGTTCCACTTTTCCCAAGCAAAAAGCAGAATTTCACTTCCACACGCTGTTCACGAAAATCAGCCATTGCAAAAACGACGATCACACAAAACAGTTGTCACTATAAACTCTGCCGAAACTAGTCCTTACCTTCTGAAGCAACGGTAGTCGGCTTATCAACTCAGGAATGTTAGCTCTATGCGCTCATAGCGGCAAAACGCGGTACTACAAAAGCTCTGCCCACAAAAAAATTAGTTCGGTTTCTTTTGGGTACCCCATCATATGTGTGCTATAGTGCAGTGGGGTATGGAATGTGTGATTTAGCAACTCTTACAGTTCNCATATACACGGCGCCAAAGCCCAGAAGACTGCTTTCTTCAACTCTTACAGATATTGTGCTATAAATCTGTTGCCAGAAAGTGGCTAGTGAGGACTAGTGGAAATAGACTGAGAAGATTGAAAACTGAAAATTGTGTAAATCAGCAAGAGTGTAATAATCATTTGTAGTTACAACCTGTAGGTTGTTAATAAATCCAATTACCTGTCCAAACCCGTGTCTCAGTCACCCAAACAAGTGACAACACCAATACCTTCCATTACCTATTTTTTGGAACAGTTATGTTCTGAATTATTCTAGACATTCTCAAGGCACTCTGTTAGGCTGTACTGAGTGACTATACTACACATATAAAAACTCAATTCTCATTATAATTCAAGTTTAGCACAAAATTCATGTCATCACACATAAGTATATTTAAATGATTTCCAACAATGATACCTGTGGGAATAAATTCTTGGGTCTACATCATAATAATTTCCTTTTAATACGAGTTGTTCACTCCCTCATGACTTTTATACAGATCTGGAGTGCACAGCTAGTTCTGAAAAGCCATTTCACTCCAAGTATGAAATTAAAAAATTTCTAATTTATATTTTATATATATATATATATGTTTGAGTGTCCATGAATAACTGAAGGAAGGAAGGAAGAAACACATATATTACACATACACACATAAATATGTATGCACTCCTATCCTTCATTTCAGCCCACATACCGTATCACATTAGCTCAATATTATACTGTATTCAGCTATACAGTGTTTCATAGCAGATGACTGAAATTCAGAATGTTACATCATAATGCATTATCTTGGTACAGTGCGAAGGTGACAAAAACACAGAAAGTTATTTTATGGATGAGTATGAAGTTAATATATTTCACACACACCTGTACTCACTTACTACAGATAAAATGTTTTCATGACTTATTAATTTAATGTATAACTTCCTTACATTGAGTATTTGTAATTTAAGTAAATTAAATGACCATCATTATAAGAAACAATTTTTCTAATGATAGGTGATGTCTGTATCACTGATTTTCACTGCAGTACAAATTCACAAGTTATGTTACAATAAATTCAAACATACTTACTGGGCTATGGATTGTTGGTACTGTTCAAGATCCATACTTTCTATATCAGGTGTTTTCCTCTCCTCAATGAACGGGACACCACCATCTAACCACTTGTGTTCAACTGATGTTACATTTTCACTGATTTCCTGATAACACAATACAATTTCACAATTCAACAAGGACTACTACAAACATTTCACTTCACATCCTGTTCTATGAACAGAATGCTAACACAGCATTTGTGAGTACAAGAGAACCTGTGAGATATATTCGAGACAGGATTTAAATCAACAATGAACAGAACTGATATGCAGCAAACTGTGTAAATGAATACGAGAAAATATAAATACAGAGAAGTGGCTTGCAAGGCAGCAAATGTGGCCAGTAATAGCAGTAAAGGAAAAAATTTCAGTGATGTCAGCAGAATACTGTACAATAGTTTCTAAGCAAAAACTGTTATATTAACTTTACACTATAAAGAGGCTTTGCATTTTGGTACATAAGTGTTTCAGACACTGAATATATACTTGTAATGATAGGACATTACTTACTTCTTCTTATATCATAATGGAATAAATGTGCATATCTATAATCTAGCAATTTTCTGTGTTCCGTTCTCTCAAAAGAATACTCACAAGTTGAAAAGCAGGACGAGGAAAAGAAGCAGAAAAAGAAGACTTAAAGGAAAGGAGAAGTGCACATTTCTTTATCCTCACACAGTGAACTAATGATTATAAGCAGCAGTGGAGAGCAAAAGTTGAGAGGATAATTAAAAATAATGGATACTCCAAAAATCTGGACATGCCCACTATCCATGCTGCACTCAACTTACTTCACCTGCTACAGTTCACTAAACAGTGAGAAATACACTCCAGGTTAACCCTGAATCACCCTCATAAACACTACATGACACTGCAAGCAGAACAGGCAGGAGCCCCATCATACGGTACCCACATCGTCTTTTAACACTGCCACTGGTAGGCTGTCCAGTATTTGCATTAATTGTTCCAATAGAAACCATAAATATGAGGATGCATCTGATAGTTGGTGCAGTTATCTCATAAGAACCCAGGAGCAGATAGCAAATTATTTCTGCCCAAACATTTATTGTAAACTGCTTCTGGAATTGTACTTCTTGAAAGGGCTGTGGATCATCAGCTCATGCGGGTTGGTTAAGAGTATTCAAAATCCAATTCCATGTCATAAATTCTTCACCCATCAGCAACACAGGTGAGGTAAGCTGGAGACACTGCATTCTACTGCCAGATTCACTTGCAGAATGCTTTATGATGCTTGCAGAGCTAGAACATGTTGTATGTGGAATAGATAAAACAGCTGACCATGCAAAACTCTCATCCTTGTTTGCTGTCAAATTTGGTGATGGTGGGACAACCACTTGATATTAATATTAGATCATTCTTCGGCAGGCAGAACATTTTCCAAGTTAGTGCTCCTGCAGCTTCATGGTCCACCAGTATTTGTCATACTGGGCTGCATGCAACCTGTTTCTTGCAGACATTCCAGAGGAATGAATGTCCTGAGATCTGATGTATCATAATTGCCATACACAAAGTTTCTGTATCTTACTAATGAAGCAGTGTTTCTGCTTGCCTGTATGTGTAGAACATAATGCTTATATTTCAGGTATGTAAGACTCACCCTGCTAACTACAACAGTTAACTAGCAACAGAGATAATCTACACATGGATAACTGACAGACTACTGTGCTCCTATTGCTCAGGGAACTGTCACTCACTAAAGACTGGACTGTTCTTGGGAACATGCGTCTCTAAAGACTACACTATGTCTCAATGTAAATTGAGGAAATATACCATTTTACAAAAAATTCAGTTATGCCACTTTGTTTTAAAAAAATCATTTCCTTCTATGGCAAGTAATTTTTGTAAGAAGCATATTTCCATGTATTTATCACTCACAACTTCCACAATGTTTTTCATTCAGAGAACATGAAAAGTCACACATATTAAATGAAATTATTATGGTTAATATTCCTATACTGTACTTGTTTTTAGACAAACATCACTTTACCAAACCTCCACCAAGGAAGGCATCTTGTCACGATGTAAAATTCACCTGTCTGATGAAATATTTGGCTTTTCCTTATGTTCTGCTGTAAATGTCACAGAACTTCATGATGGACTGCTTGGTTCACCATTTGCAGTGAGACAACAAATTTTAATGAATAAATCCCTTGATAACAAAAAAGCAGATCAGCATGGATTTGGCCTTTGATATGCACATTTGTGGCTTTCTTGGCCTCATACACTCTGGATTTTGCTATGAAGAATCTTATGTTTTGTTTCTGGTCATGCTGGATGACAAAAATCCCATCATAAGCAATATCTTCCTTCCAGAAGGTTAGATTCTTCCAACAATCTTAATGAAAGGTTAGAGCTGATTTCTATTCTCGCCTTCTGACAAACGAAACACTTATGCCAATAAAACACTTCTTGAAACTGCAAAATAAACTAAATTCCAGTGACTGATACACAACTGCTGAATCATACAGTCACATGATCCAACATATACAAAATCATCTGTCACAGCCACTGCACAAAAATATCAGTGGAAGGATAAATGAAAATGAAGTATTTTCTTGTAGTTATTAATTTAAAAAGGTCCAAAGTAAAAGAAATATGAATAGTAGAATTTCAACCAGGAAAAGATTATTTACAAATTAGTGAGAAATATATGGGTATTCTGAAAGATCACAGCTCTAAAAGTAAATAATTTCTATATCAGACATGATAAGAATGCCAAAAAATTAATTTTTTACTGTTGTAAGTGCAAGAGTTACAGATACACTGATATAAGCTAATATATATGTGAACACAAGCCTTCATTTATTACAGTAAAATTGTGCTAATTACAATGAATGTACAGTTTTAAGAAACAGCACCAAGTGATTCTGACAAGCATTTGGAAATCATGAGATAGAAAGCTATTTTGGGACAAAGCATATTAAAATGCCTCATGGAATTACAACAAATTACAAAGCTGATGACCATGCAAAAGAATGGAGACATAATGTGGGTAGATAACATATATACATAACAGATTCCTTTGCATATTTTCAGTATAGTAAAAATTCATTATTTACAATTCCTTAAAAAAATTAACTGAACATCTGTTAAAAGGAGAAAGCTAGGTAACATGGTGGAACAAATCATGTATCTGCCACTACACTAACCAAGCCCTGTTATTTATGTACTGAAGGGTTTACTTATTCAATCACAAACTAATTATCTCCATACTGCATCTATTCAGACATGCGTGGGTTAGTTAGACCTCATGCATTCTTCAGCTGACAAAACCATACCTGCAGTGAGAATGGTCTCTGAGGTTTCATATTTTCTACCACATCTCCGTTTGAATCCTTGCCAGAATCCGACTCTGGCGTTTTAATGTATGTGTTCTTTCCCTGTAACACAATGTCATAATCAGGGTTTACATTTTTATGAAAAAAAATATATGGTAGATAACCACTTTTGTAAAAAATATGAGAAACCTAAAACCACGGTCCATGAAAGAACTACCATGTATAATCCTGTCCCTGGGCAAGCACATGCAATACATATATTGAATAATCATGTTACACTGCAATGGAAAAACATTGTATCTCTTTTTTTTTTCCAAGTTGCTTTCATATATGCCTGTGTGGGATGTTCCCACATCACTCCCCCCCTTGCGAGAAGTGATGCTGCTTTCCTTTATTAGCTCTTTACTGAAAACACCTGTCTGGCTCAATTTCACACAAGTGAGTGGCCAAAAGCACTTACAGTGTCTACTACTTCTGGTGCATTCTTTCAACATAATTTGTTAACTCTACCTCCCCATTCCTGAATCACAATAAATTTATCTATTATTTATATGACATCACTAAAATGGCAGTATGACTTTCATACTCCATGGCTAACACATGGCAACTGGCATTTGAAATTCTTTAACACTGATTTCTTTCGAACACTTTCATAGTAAACTGAATAACTCGGGCTGGTTAAGAAATGAACCTGAAGCTTCACTGGCATATTCATGAAAAGTCTGTCACTGAATCCTATCAGGAACCATCAACGTGTGGGTGTGCACACATGTGCATGCATCTGTATCTTGTAAACAAAAACCAGTTTTGTTTCATGCCTTCCAATAGTCCTCCCATATGAGAGCTGTGCCATGCTATGTGTAAAACTAAAATGCTGATTTTAGTGTCAGATGCATGACAGATCATGACACTTGCTTGGAGGGCCTAAGGAAAATAACAAAACCCTCAATAATAATAATAATAATAATACCTGATGTTCCAGCCAAGATTCAAACCAAGCACCCTCTCAATACAAGTCTAGAGCATTATCTACAGATCAATCTGTTTTATAATGTTGCTATTATGTGTATCATATAAATATATGTTCCTTTCTCATTATTTAAGAAAATTACATGATCAGAAACTTCACAATTAACTGTTTTCACCTTAAAGTAATTATTAAAAGAGGATGAGTTGGGCATGGGAAAAATAATAAATGCACACAATTTTTTAAGAATGCCTCATGGGAAGTGATCACTTGAGATTTCTAGGTATGCAGGTATGAAGCTCATATTAAAATACAGGGCATGAAGTTTGGACTGTATTCATCTGCCTCATGGCAGGAACAAATGGCAGGCTTTCATGAATATGGTGATGATCCTCCATATTATATTATGTTTCTCTCCTGCTCTTCTTTTACTATCCATTCTTTCTTTTCTATGGATGTGGTTTCATGGCTTATTTTACGACTCCATCAGCATCTAGACAGGATGACCAATCAACTACAAAATGATTTGGAAGGAAATGGTCATGATCTAATCAAGGTACTATAACAAAATTTGCCTAGAAACAGAAAAACCATAAAAAAACCTCAGTTAGGATACCTGATGACATAGCCAAGATTCAAACTGACCATTTCCCAACACAAGTCCAAATGTTACCACTACATCAACCCGGCCTCACTGGAAACTGTGCAGGTAGGTCAGCAACCTCCTTGCATAAAACATGTGAATATTCTAACTTCACAGAAAACTGGAATAAATATGTGGAAGTCAGAACAGGCTTGCCAGCTTACAGCATTAAGTGAAGAAGAAGCAGGAGGGGGAGGAGGATGATGACAAAAGATGAGACACCTGTTGTAACGACATTATCAGCAAATGATACTTTTAGCATAATCCACAGGTTTGCAGAAATCAGTGTACCTTCACCAAGAAACATTTTTAACAGAAATGAGAGTGGGTGAGTTCCACAAAATGAAATTAAACATATTACAAAAGCTCTATTTCTAAGGAGGAGGAGAAAAGAAGAAAAAATAACATACTCCCAACAAAAATAATTAACACAAATATTAACACAATTTCACAATACTGTACACATAATGTGTTTATATCAGCCACACATTCCCATTTCCATCTAGCGAGAAAAATATTAATCCACTGCATCTGAAGCTCCCACCAGCAAATGAAGTAGTCGAAAACAGTATCTGGTAACTTTTTAAAGATGATATAACTGTATACATCACTAACCGACAATGATGCACCATGCTTCATCTTGTGTCTGGGCTCTGCACACTGACATATTATCCATACTGAAGTGAATGGGTATCTTTCTTCTGATTTCTACTGCTTACCTTTGTAACAGCCTGCAGGAAAGCAGCCTTTCCCATTTTCTGGCGCTGCTTACTCATCACCACCTCCATACGCCTCTTCTCACTCTCGATGCGCCGGCGCTTTTCCTCCAACTTCATGCGGATGTTGTGTAATTGAGATGCCATAATGTGATTATGTGCAGTGGTATCATCTGAAATAAACAAATATATTAACACAATGGCCTACTTCTTCAATGACATTAAAACTCTCCAAAAAGAGGAATTTATACTACATGATTATTTGCACTCTTATCATCATTAATACAATTAAATTAATCAGTATTTCAGCATCCCATTGCAATTGTTCAAATTAACGTCCATTGTTTATCTTCCGTCAAAATTGCAAAAAAAAAAAAAAGTGTTGCAATTTTGACAGAAGATAAACAATGGATGCTAACAATTAAATTAAAGGGAACCCAATTCATATGACATTTTGTCTCCTCAGTCTCAATTAGCATGACGACTGTTTTTAACAGCTCATTACTAGACTTAAGTATTTTCTAATGTTAAGGATCTAAATGTTTCTATCTCAAATTGTCCTATGGTTAATCCTAACAGTTACCATATGCACTTTGTGCATGACTGTTAATTAACTTTATGCTATCCTCACATTTCTCCAACACCCCATCGTAATTATGTTACAGTAAATTACTTTTTGCTTTACAGAACTCTATTTGCATCTTTTTTTTTATATTTTTTTTTATTGCTACTGGGGTGGGACTAAGTCCCTTGTACTGCGGCCACTTCTGGCCTCTTGTACCAGCCCCAGATGATAGGTGAGGGTGATTGTGCAGCAATTGGTGGAATGAAGATTGGCAGGGAAAACCGAAGCACTCAGAGAAAACCTGCCTCAGCACCACTTTGTCCACCACAAATCCCACTTGACCAGACCCGAGACTGAATCCAGGCCGCTGCGGTGGGAAGTCAGCGACTAACCGTTTGAGCTATGGCGCGGCCTATTTGCATCTTACTGGTCAAGAATACTCAATGTGAATTCAGTTCTGACTTCTATAGTAAAAAAAAAAAAAAAGTAAAGTTGTCCCTGTGCTTAATTAATTATTCACACCATGAAGACATATGGGAAGAAAGATGTATAGGTCTACTATTCTTGACCATGGCACCAGTTGGAGGTGAGTGATCAGCTTCATGCCCTGACTGCTTTACTCACAGGGAAAGTCCCCTATCAGATAGGAGGCTGAATGGGCCCCAAAACCGATCTGGACTACATGGAAAGGAAAAAAATCCTGCACTTATAAGACTCGAGCTCCAACCCCTTGGCCATTCAGCCCATAGCCAATCACTATACTGACAGTGCTATTCCAGCTCTGACTTCATAGTAACTGAAGGAATGTTTTAAAGGCCGATCCATAGCTCAAGCGGTTAGTCACTGGCTTCTCACCGCGGCAGCCCAGGTTCAATCCCAGGTCTGGTCAAGTGGGATTTGTGGTGGACAAAGTGGCATTGGGGAAGGTTTTCTCAGAGTACTTCGGTTTCCTTTGCCAATCTTCATCCCACCAATTGCTCCACATCACCCTCACCTATCATCTGGGGCTGGTACAATAGGCCAGAAGTGGCCGCAGTACAAGGGACTTAGTCCAACACCGCTAGCAATAAAACAAACTGAAGGAATGAACTTAGACATTCCATTTGTTCAAAATAGGAACTTTGTCTCCACACAATGATTTTCCTTATCATTCTAACATTGTATTACAAAACAAGTAATTTCTTTAAAAGATATACAAAGACTAAATCTACAGAACACTACAGTACCATTTCTTCCTATAAAAAAATTGCCTGAATCTACCATTCAATGCCTGAAATCAGCTGATGACAATCTTAAGACCCAAAAGGCATAAATGAATTCAAGAAGTCATCAACCTACAACTAACTACGTAATGATGAGAATGGTGTCCTGCCTGCACATTCTCACAACATTCTGAAAAGACAGAAGTACTGCTTTTTCAGCAACTGAATGTACAGAGGGTTACCCATCTTGGGTAGACTGTAATACATGTAACTCAGCCAAGATTTTCAAAAAACTGAGACTCATATTCAAAACCTTGATAGGTACTGACTGAATTCTGCCAGAATTAATCTAAAGAGGAGATCCACAATTTCCTTAATCCTGCTTGTAACATGGCAAAACTGCAACAGTTGTGGAAGGAATCTATCATTGTACCTATTTACTAACAGAGTGATAAAAGTGATAGCAATGATTACTGAGACTGTAACTCTCTGGTATATACAGAACTATGCTTGACTTCTCTGAAAGTTAACTCCATAAATAAAATGATTAAGTATTACACTTTTTATGTCACAGACCTACCACAATCTAATAGGGTAACACCAACCTACAACAGGTTTCTTTCAATATATGATCATATAAATGTAGGTAATACCTACCTATAGTAGATGACATCTCCGTCTGTTGTAGCTGACTGCTACTGGAGCTCTGCTGTTGCCATGTGGTCGTGTTGCTAGGTAGAGCAGCAAATGTTGTTTTCTTCTCGCCAGAACCATTCTTGTTGAGGAAACTTGATTTCGGAGGAAAATCACCGCCATCCTGCTCTCGATCATGTTGCATATATACTATATTGATCCCTTTGGGCACTTCTACACTCGCTTTATGCCTTGATAATTCAGCAAAACTTGTTGCAAGTTTAACTCCCCCAACATCACTCTCCACCTTATCACACAGTTCTGAAACTTCTTTGGAATGTTGCGTAACTTGTTTTAGAGATACCATATTAGACCACTCTGATTTTTCTTCATCTCGTTTCTCACTGGAAGAATAACCATTGTCTTGGAAAAGGAGTTCCACACCGGTACTTCGAGCATCTTGGGCACTGGTACGCACAGCGGTGTTGCTGGTTTCAGAAACACTTTTCCTGCCTATGTGCACAGCTGGTTCCTTATCTGGGTTACGCCCCAATAAATGCAAGTTTTCCTGAGATCCTCCAAAGTTCTCCAAAGTCAGCTTCAAACATAATTACAGAAAAAATTATTATTATTATTTTACTGCAATTGGGTGTTCACCTGGTGGCAGTAGAACTTACACTGATACAGACAAGGAAAATCTATAACATAAGAGAACGATACAAAACAAAATACATACAATAAACAAGGTACACACAGTGCAAATCCAAACATATAAAATTATAAAAGGGCATGTGCTTGTGTTTGTTTCACTGCACTCAAACAAGGACACTTCACATCACTTCACTTGATTCATTTAACTCCACCTATGGTCTCTGTACTTGAAACAGTTTTCCTAACCCTCTTGCAACAGCTTTCCTATGTCAACATAATACTGAAGTGACAGATAAAATTTAAATAAAAGCAAATTATATATTTACTGCAGATTGGATACTTGCAGTTTCTTTACAGAACAGACTGTTCAACTGCCTTTCTTCATCTCTCTCAGAACCTACCCAATGTAGTCTTCTGCCCTCTAGATATTAGGCCCAACCCTATTTTGACTTCACAGCCATATTTTGAATAGCCTTCCTGTATCTCTGCTCCCCTTTGGTACCAATGGTAATATCCTAAGGTATTCTAAGCAAGGCCTGAGTATTCACTCTTCACTGCCATATAAAGACTGGCTCAGGGGCCCAACACTCTCCTGTGTAATGAATACAAATGACTGTGATATAGGGGGAGGACAAAGTTGTGGAAACACTAAGCTGACCTTAGTCTCAACTTAGTCTAGTGTCACAGTCCTCCATGTGTAGAGCTCTAACTCCATTCTCCCAGTATGCCTTCATAGCTTCATTCTAAGACACACAGGCTACTTCGTTTTGATCTCTTGCAGATTATGTTAATGTATTCAAAAAGAATGCATGAATTGGTCCAAGATGAGGGAAATTTCAGGTCATAATTCAAAAGAAAACTGTGTTACATGTAGAGTTTATAAAGATATCAAATTTCTCCTTTGCATGTGAAAAGTTTGTGCATTTCTTCAGATAGCATAAACAATCCATAAAAGTACATTTTACACTTCATAGGCTTTTGGGCAATATAAATACACAGACCTAATACTGCAATGTATTCTATATGAGCTTCTTAATAACCCTCCACTAGCATCCATTTACCACTCAGCTTACCTGCGAATCATCCGATAAAGAGTTCCTTCTTGACCTCCTGCCAGCATAGGAACTTCGCCTTGAATCCTCCCAGTTACTGGGCCTACCAGCAGCTATCGGCTCTCCTCGTTCTTCTGCTTTACTATCCTGATTCTGTTTTTCCTTTGCTGGTCGTAACCTGGCAGGAATCAAGGGTTCCTCGGCCTGAATAACTGAGCTTAATGTAGGAACTCCACGCCCTCGATGCACGACAAACTGATCATCACTACTGTTATGTCTGAAACAAGTTGAAAAATATACATTATTAATACTGAGCAATATTTATGTTCGTATGTCCCAGGAAAGAGTGGCAGGCCTGGTATTCCCCTCCCCCCTGAGGTCTCTGTGCCATTACTTCGGTACTTTACATAATCCTATTATTCCCAAGTGTCATGTTATTTCCCATTCCTCCATTTGTTTAAAAAGAAAACCCTCCAATAAAGTAAGGAAAACTGGAAGTTGGTCTTTCATCTGCCAGTGGTCAGTGAGGTAGGTGGTGAAATTCTGTTTAGGTTGCACATTCTAAATTCTGTTCGGAATCTTGTTCCATCTGTTGAGGGCTGTTGCAACTGCCTTGTTGCAAGGGGTGTGTCAGGTGCATTTCAACAGTGGTTTTGCTGGGATTTTTATTTTATTATGTGGTTGGGCTTGTATTGACCCATTTTCTGTGACTTAGTTTCAAAACATAATGAGGGTTTTTACTGGGGTTTGTTTTGTATGTGTTTGGGCTTTCATTGCCCCGTTTGTGATTCTGTTCAGTGTGATAATTGGGTAACATTCAGAATATCAGAATTTTAGCCAAAGAGAGTTTAGGTTATCATGAATCAAAGAAACATAGGCCGTGGTTTAACGAAGGATGCTCAGAATTATTAGATCAAAAGGAACAAGTCAAACTGCAGTGGTTACAAAATCCAAGTTAAATAAATGGGGATAATCTGAACAATATAAGACATGAAGCCAGCAACCAATGGAATATGTGAAGGACAAAATCAATGAGATTGCAATAAACAGTAAGAAAAAGAACATTAGAGAACTGTATAGAGGAATAAATGAATTTAAGAGGGGTTACCACTCTTGTGAACATGCTAATGAACCTTCAGGTTCCATAAAGTGCTGGAAAGTTCTTGAACAGCTGCACAACTGGCAACTTCTCAAGAAGGGTTCAGCTCCATGAAATTTGTTAGTTAGTTAGTTGGTTGGTTGGTTGGTTGGTTAGTTAGTTAGTTAGTGAAGCTTCCAGGAATAAAGAGCTGTCATATTCATAAAGGCTGAAAAGGAGGTAGTTCAATTTATAGAAAATATCCAAAATGTAGAAGAACAACATGAATGTTTTAACAACACTCAAAATTTTCGATTTTGTGATTACTTAAGTGCATTAAAATGATTTCAGATGACACTCAGCAATTAAATTAAAATTTTCAAAGAAGTCCTATGAAGAACTGATAATACTTTGGCTCTGCTCTTCAAATGTTTCCATCTCAATACAGAAAAAATAAACTTTTTTTCAGAACATAGGCATCACACAAAATACTCTAAATAAGGAAGCTACTTCTGACATTTTCAATTCATCGAACTCAAACATGTTAGTCATAAAAAAGAATAAGAGATTGTCTTCCAACTTTTATAGAAAATAAATCAGAGCTGCACAGGAAGGTAAGTTTAATTTTATTTCAGGGGTATTCTAAAATAACTTCTAAATTACCTTTCTTCTTGTATATGACTCTTGTCTTGGCACTCACTGGTGCTCTTCCCATATGAATCAGCATGTTGCAAGGAATGAGACTTTTTGATAGGCAAAGATGTTTGTATTGTAGGAGATGACTTAGAAACTGAAACAAACAACAAAACTACAATTAAAGACTGATGGTCCTTTTAAAATTATTTTAAATGGCAAATATGAAGTTACTAAGTGTAATCATAGCTTTAAATTTAATGTCTATCTGGAGAGAGGGGCTAGCTCTATCTACTGGACCCAACTGAACAGGTTTTGCCTGAGGATGGGGACAGAATCCAGTCACTGAAACATTGTGTTTTAAAAAGAAACAGGATGGTTTTTTAAAAATAGACAAGATGACAGATAATGTCCAAACACATATTATTTGTAACAATTTACCATCGTCACAAACTTTTAGATCATATTAATGTCTGTACCTGTACTACTACAATAATGAATCTGGAAAACTTAACATTACAAGTGACAACAAAGATCAGATGAGTTCACACAATACACAGTATGAAGAACTCTATATTCAGGGATACCATACTGTGTAGCCTGCAGAAAGTCAACTGACATTTTTGGAGGAACATGTTGCCTCCACCTTCAGGGTAGAATAATAAGTCAAGCAAGAAAGCAAGGTGGCTCTTCTTGCCACCTGCTTTCATGCTGGTTTCTTGCTTGGCTTACCATGGTAACGAAACATGTTTACACTATATTATGGCATGATGTATTTTCAGTTTTATTTCTGTTAAAGAGACATTGGTTGTGTGTTTGTGTATTTACAGGCCTCAACAGTGTACTACAATTGTTAGTGTCTGAAATTTCTAAGACAGCCTATTTTAGTGTGACAATACAAATTTCTTTACAGGCCTACAGCCTGCCCACAAGCACTGTGGTCTGAAAGTTACAAAAATGATATGTATGAGTCCAGAAACCTAAAGATGTTAAACGTAAGTATCCAATACATATGGCAAAATTGGTTTCTGAAATTAAAGTGCAGTTTTTTCTGTATGGGCATGCCATATATTCAATAGCCAAACATCCATCAGTCCCACCCACTTCTCTTAAACATCACATTATAGAAATATTATAGTTCTGAGACTGCAACCTGTTTGTCTTTACTTCCAAGTCAAATGCAAGCACTCGTATACTCAAAGCTTTGTAAAATTAATTTGGATCCATTATAATGAATTATTATTTTAATTATATTTTTATACATCTTCACAATTTAAAAAATTTGTATTTGTGGTTGATATTAGTGTAATCACCTGATGACAACCATTTACAGTCAAAACATGTACTCTATAGCATGCCAATCCCCAACACAATTTCGGCAGATGCCATGGCACTCACAAAGGCTTTTGTTGTTTCCTGCGATTGACTGGCCAACCAGTTCATGATATGGAATAAACTGAGTGCATACCAAATTTTCTTTTGGTAACAGGGAGCACATACATCCCTTCTCCCCTTGGCATTCACCAACTACAGACACCTGACGCAATTATCATACATGTCCAGTGAACTCATAAGTACACAGTGACAATGCATGGAATGTACTACTGTGTACAAACCAGGAAGTTCTGAGAAGAATAGCCTACTTTCCTTTGATATGACAGAGAATAAAAAATGACGAGTCCAATAATTTTTCAATTTTTGCATGTGTATTCACTGCCGCAGTAATTTTTTTACTGAGCCATTGCCTAGCAATGATAGGGGACACATACAGACACACAGACTGATAGGAGGAACTTGTAAAGTATGTCACTGGGATAGGCTCAGGTGCCTTAATATATATACCAAGTTTCACAAAGATGGGTTCAGGCGTTTAAAAGCTGATAGGGGGGGATTCACAGACAGCATGGTGACCTCATATACATACTTGCATTTTATCAATATAAGGAAAGAAAAATTGTGATATTAGTGTTCTCTTGCAGTCTTTAAGATTTATTGTACTTCAAAGTTTTTTCCTACACTAGATGTCTATATATATTCTTGACCTATAGAAAGAGCAACGGGTTACATTAATTGCTTGGTGTCTGTACTCTGTTCTAAACTTTCAAGCATGCCCTCAGGCACAAGAAGGTTAGGGACGTCTGATAACACCACAGGGAAATGGTAAATATACAACATGTTTCTCTTGAACAGAGAACCTTAGGAAAATTATTGAGATCCATTTTCAAAATTAGATACAGGGGTGCCAAAAGAATGTCTACAACAATTACACAAACTATCCTCTCTCTCCAAAATGATGTAACAGGGAAACAAGAGATATATGTAAGAAACATCCCACCTGGTGAACTATCTCCTGAAAAATATGTATTTTGTTTCAATACATGGCACAGGATGCCCAAAGAACAACATGACATACACTTTTCAATGTTACTTATGATAGGAATAATTTTATATTTAACCCATTTTAAAAAGTTACATTCTATATGGAACGGAGGTAACATGTGCAATTCTTGACGAAGACTTTGTGAAGGCTCTAATTGAAAAAAAAGTTTTCACCAGCTTATGGCATAACGTATTTTCAATTTTATTTGTGTTATGAGAACTCAGTTGAGTAGTTATAGGCCTAAATAGTGTTCTACAATTTCATGTACATGAAATTCCAGTCAGGTCACTTTGGTGGAGAAATTTTCTTTATAGGCCCACAGCCCGACCCATTAGTATTGTATGTGGGGAAGTCATAAAATTTTAATTATCACTCAGAAGAAACAGACACACACATGCAAGAAATTGTGAGTCCTTCTCTACATATGCACCCTGCAAGGCCACACATTTTCCCCAACGATGCATTAGCTGCTGGATACCTTGATCATAGGTCTCATTTTGACTGTTTAGGAAGTCCTCCATTGCAAAAATTATGTCAATATCGTCTTGGACTCGCTTACCACAAAGTGGCTTCTTTAGCTGTGGAAAGAGGAAGAAGTCAGCCGGAGCCAGATCTGGTGAATATGGTGGATTGGGGAGAATTTCATATCCCAAACTGGCAGAAAGTGTCGTCATAGCATGAGCAGCATGAGCCGGTACGTTATTCTGAAGAAGTCGCACACCTTTTCCCAGCATTCCATGTCACTTTTTCTTTATTTCCTCTGGCAATTTTCCCAGAAGGTTGCAGTAGTACTCGTCAGTGATGGTGATGCTCTTTTGCATGCAGTCAGTAATAATGATACCCCGCCTTTCCTGATGACAACTGGGATTTGGCCTTCTTGGGTGGTGGTGAGTCTGCATGTTTCCACTGCTTGCTCATTTTCTTCGTTTCAGGGTCATAATGATAGACCCAAGATTCATCCATCGTGATCAGGTGGCTGAAAAATTCCACCTTTTCATTTTGACACAACTGCAAAAGTTTCTTTGCCACATCCATCCACTGCTATTTTTGAACTGGTGTCAATAATCGTGGCACCCAACATGCAGCGACCTTTGTCACGTGTAACTCATCATGGATGATGCTGAAAACTGACCCATGGCTAACGCAGATCTCATGAACAATAGCTTCGATAGTTATGCACCTATCAGATAGGATCAAAGCTTTCCACCTGTGCCATAATTTCTGGTTCCTCAGTGAGAGATGGTCTTCCACTTTGGGATTCATCTTCGAGGTTTGTCTGTCCACAATGAAAGCGCCTGTTCCACCTGACCACTGTGTCATATGATGGTACACCTTCCTGATACAGAGCGGTCATCTGGTCATGGAGCTCCCTGGCAGACTTCCCTTGCAAATGCAGGAACTGTATCACAGCACAAGCCTCCACTTTCTCAACCGATACTGCCATTTTGCTTCTGCCTTTTCTGGTGGCTCCCTCTGTCCACTTGGTGCGGGAAAATTTGACTGTTCGGCAAGCTCAGGAAATGGGATATCTCCTATATAGAAAAATATTTTGGAATTATGATTTTCTGATGGTGATAAGTAAAACACTATGACTTCCCATCATGTTGTGAAGGAAAAAACAATTATGTATGTGAGTCCAGGAACCTAGAGATGTAAGTAACACCACAAGAAAAAATAGTTTCTCAAACCACAGTGCAGATTTTTCTGCATATTAGTATAAATGCAGCTGTCTTTCCCTAATTTATTGCATTACTGAAGTCAGACATTTTTGTCAAAGTTAGTTTTTTAAACTTCCACGAAAACTCCAACAGGCTTTATGCTAGTAATTATATAGTACATCTTACAGTCCAGGAATAAACTAGTACATGAAACAACAGCAGAACAGAGCATTCACTTATGAGTTCACATATGACTTCAAGCACTATTTTAACATATATAAACTGACTCCTCAGTCCATGATTGACTGTGAAAAGACAGTAACTGAAAAAAAAAAAAACTTGGAGAGTTCCATCTTCTGGACATAATATTGTGTAGCTTGACGATGGTCAAATGACATTTTGGAGGAACATGTTGCTTCCATCTTCAGGGTCAAAGAATAATCCCAACAAGAAACCAGCATGAAGGCAATGTGACCCTGCGTGCTTGGATTATTCTTCGACCCTGACAATGGAGGTGACACATTCCTCTGCAATGTCGGTTGATTTTCAACAGACTACATAGTGTTACATTCCAGAAGACAGAACTCTTCATAACTACTGACGTGAAAAACTCAAATCCTACAAACAAATACTTATTTTTTTAAATTGTTTGACAATTACGTTTAATAAATGACTTTCAAGTACAGGCACTCTTATATTTCATATCTGGCAGACATCTTTAAATTCAAAATGAAGGAGGAGAGTTACTTAATTGCACATACAACACATTTCTGTAAAAAAATACAAAAATTATGCAGGTAATATTTAAAAATAAAACCTGTTTTCTCCACGAGCATTCCAAGAACAAAACTGTAGATACTCTCCTTGTTTTTTTTTATGACTTCATCTAGCACTTTTCTCACTTCTATTAAATCCAGCATACATGTTGATAACTACAAGGGGTTTGTTTGCAAGCAGTTCTTAGAACAAAGTATGTTTTTGGAAATGAAATGTTTATGACAAGATATGCAATACAGAATTGAAAATAAATTGACTACTTCATCCTGTAGGTGTACTGCTTACATGCATAAATACAACCTATAAGTGTAGTCAATACATGCAGAAATGCATACCTCACATGCTAAGCAAACTGAATTATACTCGATGCAAAACATCAAATGCCGTGCAACATACCAGTATCTTAACCTAACCCTTCAGAGGTATTTTTGGAATACTGAATACTTAAAAGCAAATTACAGTATAATACCTACTTATAACAGTGTATCAATAGACTTCAACAGTCTTCCATTTGAGACAGGTTTCCACTTAGACACTTTACAAACATTAACAGCAGAAACAAAACATAATGAGTATGGATTTTAATCGTTTCTTGCATCCTGTTGTGTGTTTAATCAATAGTAGAGTGAATTTACCGACTACACAACACGTTTTTGATCACATTATCACTACATGTTTCGACCTTAAGAGGCCATCTTCAGGTGTATGAACACGGCTGTATAATTACGCGCGGTCACATTCACTTTTCACTCATTCGACCTTGTATCTTTCCAGACTTACACTCACTAATATATCGAGATCTTTTATGAAACACAGATGGGCATAATTCTTCCTTACTTGTGATAAGAATGCTCTTTGTAAAATAAAGTACAGCACAGAAAAAAATACAAATGAATGTAAGAAGAATGTATATTTAACCAGGCCATTGTCTATTAAACTATTAATTAATTTAGTGTTGACCAAGTGGGCTGGTATAGTGCTAACACTCTACACTTCTATTCAGGATGCACTAGGTCGAAATCTCAGCCATGAAACTGGCTATTCTAACCGAGATTTTTCATGGATTTCCCCAGACACTCCAAGCAAATGCCATGAGAGTAACTTGGTCCGTCCATGGCCATTTCCTTCCAAACCTTCTCCAATTTATTATGCATGTATCATCCTACCATTTGATGCTATCCAGTCTAGCTACTGACAGCATCTAAAATAACTCCCAAAGGAACTGTATTTTGAAATTAAATTGTATGTCTCTTATAAGTAATTTTATATTGTAATTTGAGGTTTTCACGGGAGCGACTATGAAGAAAGCAGTCTTCTGGGATTTGGCACCATGTATATGTGGTGTTAACCGACGTTTCGGAGGAACGTATCGCCTCCATCTTCAGGGTAGAAGGAAAAAAGATGGAGGTGATACGTTCCTCCAAAACATCGGTTAACACCACATATACACGGTGCCAAATCCCAGAAGACTGCTTTCTTCAATTTGATATTGGTTTTCAGTTTATTTTCTTGGGACTGAAAATATGTTTTCAGAAAGGTTGGTTTACATTTTACACCCAAGTCCATTTTAGAAATGTTTTACTTAATTGGCTGTTATTTATGATCCAGTCCACTACCACCTTAAATTTGGTATTTATGAAATACTAGTACAATTAAACTACCAGCAAAACATTTATGTGACTTTCAGAGGATAATTTTTAATGGCAGAAGAGCTTGGCAAACTGCAAACATATACACATCTAATGTCAAAGTCCAAAAATTTTGGAAAATCTATTTTTCCATCAACCTGATTTTTTTTGGGAAGAGTATGCCTAATCTGCAGCCAAAACTTGTTTAAAACCAGTATACATATTATTTTACTGGGGAAAATATTTGACCTAAGAAGAAGGACGTAGCAAAAGGCTGGACAAGAATGAGTAATATGAAGCTTCATAATATCTTTAACCCTTCTACATCCTGAAGCAATGGGGTAAATTATAAATCCATAATTAATAATTAATAAACAGATTAATGTCTTCTAACAAGGTTTCATTACTCTAGAGTTATTATATTATACACCATACACATTTAATAAAGTGTAATAAAGCATGCCAGACAACATTCATTACAATTTATAATATGTATACTCTTCACCACATATTACTAGGTTACTCAAATCAAGCATTATCTGATGGTGGGGCATGCAGCATGCATGAGAGAGATGAAAAATGATTACAGAATTTTAATTTAAATATATAAAGGGAAGAATCACTTGGATGACCACAGCACAGATGGGAGGAAAGAAATTTAAATGGATATTAAAGAAACAGTGTCAGGATGACTGAACTCATCTGGCTCAGGATAGAGACGTTTGCCAAGCTCTTATGAACATGGTTATGGACCTTCAGATTCCATGTAAGCCACAAAATTTCTTAACTTCGTAATTTGCTGATATCAAGGAGACTGCTTCATGGACACAGGTAATTTCTACACATTCTTTACATTTCTGTCTCACAAAATATCATCTACACAGCGTGAAACTAAAGCAACTTGACAATTCTAACATGTGTTCCTGATGTGGGAAGAGTACACACATATCAAAATTTGCACCTAAATGCCATTTTCTATCACAGACCTTCATGACACAGTAAGTACTAATTTCCTTACTCCGTAATCAGGCAAGTGTCCAGTAAGAGACAAAGCCCCAAAGTTAAATACCAAGAATCTGACAATGTACTGTCCAGTCAGAGCTAATGCACACATCAGGGCACAGTGATAAGTAAGTATGGAGCAATGGTGAAATAATTAATAGCAGAGGAAAACATGAGAAAAACCTGCTCCAATCCCACTATGAATCTCACATGCAGTCACCCAGGAATGAACCTGAGGTTCTGTGGTGAGAAGCCAGTACCTACCCATCTGAGCTATGTCACAGCCTACATGATATGTAATTTATATATATCGGAATAAGGTTTATTACTGACTGCGGGTGTGCACATAAATGTAGTTTTCACACGCAGAGATGGCAGGTCTATGTTAAAAATATGACACCTTAAGGATATATATTAATATAGATTAATTCAGTGTTTCAACATAATACCAATCAGTTACAATAGAAGGGGGAGAAATACAAAAAGTACAGAAAGGAAAAATGGGGGTGTTGGATAAAAATATGAAAAAAATTATTCCATTCTGAATTTCAATGTGCCTTTTTCGCTGTTACGTCATGTAATTTCTTTCATATTTGGCAACCCAACAAAATATGTAACTCCAAATCCAAGAATCAATTTCATCTTCTCCAATTAGATGTGAAATTTGTAATCTGTATTCTTCTTCTGATTTCATACTAGCATGGTCAACATGCAACAAAATCATAAACAATACACAATGCAAATCATGCAATGCTAACGACATGACATTGTAATTGGGCCACACAAAATAACACCAATCGGAACATTAAAAAACACATATGAAGGGCTTTAATGTAAACTAAAAACACAACCTCAATGGGTTAATTTCAATCTTACAAAAAGCTCACACAAAGAAATTATTTTCAAAATTTTCTGCAACTACTGCATGAGAGATGACATTCAAAATAGTATACTTCAGTGAATTTAACACCATAAGAAGACAAAATGTAATATGAATATATTTCATTACCTACCTACAGTATTATGACACAAGGCATTTCTACAACCACAATCAGATCAAAGTTTCTTCTAGCACTTATACTTGACTTTTCCCCAACCCTGACATATCACAATGCAAAGCTATACTCAAAATCAGAATTTTTAAAAGAAGAGAACATAATCTACTACCAAGTAAAATGCATTCAAAGCATGTCAGAGTGATACCACATAGTGCCAGCCCGATTACAAATTTTAAATGCTTCCAATCAAGCCAAAATTTCTTGGCAAGTTCTTCATTCAATGAGGACAAAGTGAAAACTTATAAACATCATTTTCCACACTTAATATATCACTTTTCTTACAGTTGCATTTTAGTGCTCCTCTGGTACTTCAAATTATTTTGTTAAATTTTTTGTTTACATTGGTTATGACAGTTAATTTTCAAGCGAAACTAAGTCTCATACTAATTTCAAGAAAACTGATTTCCCCAGTTCAAGTTCAAATCACAATACAAAAACCATTAAAATATATGAAGAAGCAAATTTCTTTCTCAGATATGCAGATTCAAAACAGAGCACGTTCAGCTATACATGATTCAAAATTTTCAGGGAAATCCACATGTAGTCTGAAGCATTCTGCATTCCAATGTTGTGTTCTCATCGAAAAAAACTTCCATTACAACATTGTATTATGGCCTAGAAGACTCCACATTTCATATCTGATTAGTTTCTTTAATATAAGCAGAGTTTTCTCACTAACAAAAGAAAATGCAAATTATGTTTCAACATATCAAATGAATATTACCCTCAGCTCACTTTATATTAAAGCTACTGATATCTATGACATGTGGTGGAGAATGCTCCTACCTGTAAAACCGCTCGAATGAGCTCCAAGGTTACTGCGCAGATCAGGGATTGCAGATATTGACTGTGGGAAGCTACGCTTGTGAGCTACCCCTTGGCTATTCCGTGGGTAGACTGAGAAAGTTAGAGCACAGTGAAAAGATTAATAATAAAAAGCAATACAGTACAGTGATGGGCAACTAATGCACTTCTCAGCCATGTTTAAAGTAGAATAATAAGCTGAAAGTTGCAGTGCTTGCAAGCTCATCTTTCAGACATTTCAAGTTAAGAGTGCTGAGCTATCTGCCATTATCCAGTTCAGTCTTCTGCAATGAAATGTCATTAGGTTATAACATTGTACAAAAAGCGACTGATATCAATTTGGAAGTGTAACGTTAGTCTATCAATGCCAGGGAAATTGGACATGTCATTCTGAAGTTCATTTCGTATTTACATGGCTTTAATATAACCCCAAATTTATGAAGGATATTCAGAAAGTAACCTCCATTTATTTTAGGCAACTAATGTAGGGGCAGGGGAAAGCTCGCGCATGCAAGGTAGCATCACATGACTCATTGCCTTGTAAACCAACAATAACTGGTCACCTAGTGTTTGTTCTTGTCTCTACAGAGTGAGCTACATTGTATCCTGTGATTGACAAACCTGCCAGATGTGAAAATCCACTGTGAATTATGCATTGCAGTTTATGGACAAAAGTAATGAGTGAAGGAACTCTAAGACAATGGTTTAGAATTTTCAAAGATGAGTAAACAAACATTTACGATGAAGAGCAAAGTTGCCAGCCATCTGTAGTGAGTGATGATCTTGTTCAACGTGAAAGATGGCGCTTCAAAATTTCAGATATTTGTGTTAATTTCCACAAATTTGTTCTCTATGCGATTATCAGAGTTAGGTTAGACTGTCACAAGTTTTGCACAGATGGGTTCTGAAAATGCTCACTGGTGTGCACAAAATGCAGAGAATGGCTTCAGCTTTGACTTCTTCAGAGTGATACCACAAAGATGGTGATGAATTTCTCAAACATGATGTACGATTAACAGATGAGGCAACCTGGTTTTCATGTGTGAATGTTGAAACCAAAGAGCAGACAAAGCAGTGGATGCATACACATTCACCAAACAAGCTGAGAAAGTTTAAACAAATGTTGTCTGCCTGCCAGAAAGCAACTGTCTTCTTGGACAGAACATGAAAGAAGCGCTGATGGTGGAATTCATGCAACAAAGGACTACATAACATCACAAATTGTAAAACACTAAAAAAAACTCTGTAGGGCCATTCGGAACAAAAGGTGTGGAATGCTGACATCCAGTGTAGTGCTCCTCCATGATGATGCACATCTGCATACAGCTGCTCACACTCGAGCACTGCTGGAGCATTTCAATTGAGACTTGTCTGACCAACCTCCTTACAGCCCTGATCCCACTGAGTGATTACCAACCTGTTTACCTACCTGATGAACTGGCTGGGATCACAGCACTTCAGCAATAATGAAAAGCTGATGAAAGGTGTCAAAACGTGGCTGAGGTAACAGACAGTAGACTTCTTTGACACAGACATACGAAAACTTATTCCCCAACATGAAAAGTTCCTTAATTCCGGTGGTGAATATGTTAAGAAGTAGTTGAAGTACTGTGGCATACAGATCCATTGCTATGCAATGACTCTGTAAATAATGGCCACGTCTGGGCAGCAGGTCAGTAAACACTTTCCCGTGGCAATGAATACACACACACAACAACAGAGTTATGGTTGGAAACGGTGTTTTCTATGTGGTCCGTATCGAGGTGTTATAACCAGGACAGTTGGTGCAATGAGTTCAGTTGTAGTATTATCCAGCGCGCAACAGTGTAAGCATAGAAGCTGAAGAATCTCCACTGTTGAGAGTTGTTACCAAGCAATGATTATGGAAGACTATAAAAGACTAAGGCTTAGCGTGTGCTGTAGTGATCTGTAGAGTGTGTAGATCAGCGATAGCACTGTAAGTGCTTGTAGTTCTGAGTTGTGTGTACAAGTTGTGAATAAATCCAGTCACCAACCCATACCTCGTCTGTAGTTACCCATACTACATGACAGTATGTACGTATACATATATACATATAATAGTTTTTTCCTTGTTGCTTGTTTTGTTAACAGCTCATCGGGGATTACTTTCCAAAAAGACCTCACAGCATGGTCTTCCTTTTTACAGGTAAAGCTAATTGAAAAATAATTCCACTACTTATTCACATAAAATCTGTGAAGATGAAGAAGCCTGCTAACTGTAAGACCCCATTGTATCAACATGGTGTCCCAAGATCTTCTTGTGATTTACTGAAATTCTGATTACTGGTAAGGGGCATAATTACTATAACACCTTCATAAGAGAATACAACTTCCGAAGCCAGGATATGGCTACCAGCAAAATTCTCTTCAGATAAACAGAAGAAGGACACTGGAAAAATGGAATCATGCCTGACAGATGTTTCACAATTCAAAATGTACCACAAAAACAGAGCCACCAGCTTTAACATTACAGCCCAAAATATACAGGAATGGGATAAACAAAATATGACTACAATGATATAGTAATGTAAATCTAATGATTCTAGTAATATTGATATGAATTTGAATCTGTTTTCACAGAAATCATTGACCCAAGGTTGACTCCTAAGAATTTCTCTGTTTTTGAATGTAAGATTACACCTTATATTCAAACTACATGTTAAAAACGCACACACACTGCCTTACAGTTTGGTAAATGTGGTTATGATACTAAAGGATATTGGTCAAGAAAATAACAATTCTTATACCTCTGAAAGAGAACATGCTTCTTTTCTAAACGTTAAACATTTAGCCAAAGAGAGAATGATGACCTGAGGTAGCTTGCACTCTTAAATAATTGCGTTGCCTAGTAAAGAATATTATAAAATATTTTTTCACTGCATGTGTATTACTGTTGCCCTCACTGATACAGTATTTATGAAAGAAAAATTAAGACAGGAGAAAGAAATAGTCAGGTGTGCTTATTTTGCTTGCCACAACCCCAAGTAATTTTATTTCAGTATTACTGCTAAGAGTGTCATCCAGTCACCACAAACAAACCAGAGAAATGACATGCAGTTTCATAATTCATACATCAGTTATTATATTCAGACAAGTGCTACCAAGCCTTCGGCAGCAACTGTGCGATGAAATCTAGTCACCTTGAAAGCTCACTGATCAATCTGTAACTAGCGCGTCTTATCCTAAAAATGCATGAGAAAGAACAAAATATAATATGATAAGTGTTGAGAAGTACACCATGTCAGTTACTTTTAGTCAGACATGGTATGAATGTCTTGTCTTCTGAGGTCACCTGAGAGTACGCTGTTTAGATCCAAATGGACAGTGAACTTTTACACACCGAATCATTTCAGCTGCTTGTATTTTCTAATTTGTTCAGTCTCAGAGTTCAAAACTTAGGAGACTAGGTTGGCAGCACAGGAATGGTGCCACTTCAACCTTAAACATCATGGAGGCTTACGGTGTGCATAAGATATCTTAACCTTTAAGTGGCTTAAGGAAATGCTGAAATTTAGTGTTTTACAATGTACTCTCAGGCTTTCTTCAGAATGAAGTGTACATTTTAGACACAGCAAATTTCCTCATTATGCCAACTTTCATTTCAGCGGTTAGTTATGTGAACAAACAGAATGCTCATCACTGTGCTTTACAAAATCCAGAGATTATTACTGAGGATTCCTGACACCCTCAACACGATACAGTGTAATGCACAATATACATAACTGATACATTTGCACTGTGTTTATAAAAGATAGTTCTGGAGTTACCTTAATGACTTGCAGAGTGATTCTTTTCCACTAATCATGGGTTATGATGGTATTCATACCTCTGAGGCCTGGATTAAACATCACAGAACATGGGCTCATAATACAGCTGGTACTGTGCTGGACTTTTTAAGGAAAGATCTGGAAAAAGGAGTACTCCCCAACACATTTCCTCATGTCCGTGGTGAAGGTTTTGAATGGCTGGCTAGCCATGTTAGTCACCAGATTTAAACACACGTGACTTTCTTTCATGGGGATACCTCAAAGACAAAGCATTCAGTACTAAGCCTCACACAATCAATGATTTGAAAGAGGCAATACAGGAACAACTGCTCTCAATCTCCACAGAAACTCTCCATGATGTGCTACAGAATTTTATCATTAGACTGTGACACATAACCTCAGAAAGAGTAGGACACATCCAATATGTTTCACACTGAAGACACTATTTTCTATGTGTACAGTCATTTATATTAAAAAAAAAAATACAGTTTATACAAATCACTTTAATTTTATGACAGAATAAATGATTTAATGAACAAGATATCATCCTACATTTAACAGCACTAAAATTGCTACTCATAAGCTTCTGAGTGATACCAAAACCAATTCCATCTGCTGAAAAGAAGAATGTAACTTTAGTTCCATTTTGTTATGAATTAAATGTAACAATCTTCTGACATATGAAATCCAGCCACACTTCTTCACTATACAATAACAATTAATGAACCAGTGCAGCCAGATATATTCGATTTGTACTCTACTTCCCATGAACTTTTAATGAACTGTTCTTCATAGAGAAAAAGTGTTTCAGCAATAAATCATGAACAATAATGAACAATTACATGTCCAAAAATATTTGCCAAAGAGTTACTACTCACTGTAAAAATGAATTATATAGATATGTAAAATTGGTGTGGGTGAGGAAAACTTTCACAAAATCTGTAAACAAAAAAAAAAGTTCATAACCCTGAGCAAGGTTCCTCCCAAATACAAGTCAGCCATGTTACTGCCTCAGTCAACCGTATAAATAAAATACCACAGTAGGCATAAAGACATGAAAATAGTAGTATGACGGTCAATTTTCACAGACAAGAAGTTTAAAGAGTACTGGAACAAGATGTTTAAATTATTCACTGCTTGCCGAGTGAGTGTAAATTAATACTTCAAGCTCTGTCCTGGCTTACTTCCATTGGTTCTGTTATTCATTCCATTTTGAAATAATTTTAAACATATTCCCCTAAAGAGAACTTCCCAATATTGAACATTTCCTTCAAATACTGCAACTTAAATTCTACAATACTGAAATGTATTACAAGAACTTTATATTTTGTTAAGAGAAGTCAAAGGATATTCCAATACCAATGTCGCAATCTCTGTCTGAATTAAGCCTTTCCAAACAACCCAAAGGATTTTCCAAAAATAAGCAGACAAAGTCTATGTTGTGCAGATAATGGCATCTGTAAAACTACGGGTGTTACTATTACCAGCATATACTGAGACAAAAAAAGTGTCTTACCTTCTTTTAAATTTTTGTCAGTGCCTGGAAATCGGACACATTTCACAGGATGAATCTCTAGCACATTAAACAGATCTGCCAGGAAAACCACTAGATTCTGCTTCATTGACCTACATAACAAACAAGGTAACATTCACAAAATAATATTCAAAAGCCTGTGTACAAGACAGTAACCAAGAACACAGTACTTCCTAAAACATAAAACTCAATATAGAAGTTTACTTAAACTGTCGTTGCCAAACACGGTCACTGGTTCCTTTTTCTTCATTCTCACCCATCCGCATTCTCTTCCAATTTCCCTTGCTCTGTGGCAATACTAATAATATATGCATAAGTTATGTACTGGAAGCCAGGTTCACATACATCACTTTGCAGCCAGTCTTCAAGGTTTCCTTCATCAACATTTTCAAACTATATCAATTCATTCAGCACATCAGCCTTTTCAGCTTTGTTTACTTCTTCGTTGCACAAACCCTCACCTCATATTTTGTTGCATCCTGTTGTGTAAATCATTACAGATAACATTCCTGCCAACACAACACTTTCTCCAGCAAGAGGAGTTTGCTGTCTAGGACAGCACGTGCCTTAATCAGGTCTGAATTTTATACACTCAGCTTGAATTTCCATGTAAACCAAGTGGATTTCACTGGTGTGTTATGCACTGTATACACAATATCCTAAAATACAGTGGTTTTTATTTATTGGTCAAGAGAGTAATTATTTTGAAGTTGCAGATATTGAATGATTTATGTGAATGCATAGCACTGTACACAGTCTATCTGTCCACTTCTGTGTTTCCTCCTTCTACTGTTTTTTCTTGGGCGGCATAGCAGCAGAAATAGTGGCGTCACAAAAACAACTTGACTTTCTGCATATACATGGGAAAAAATATGAGTGGTTCTGCAATCTGTTTCTTTTGCATCATTGTAGGGGCACAACATCCATCTTCTTTGAGAGACAGACCATAGCTCACTCTTATCGTTGGTATATCAACTTGTTTTTCTACTGTCCCATTTTGATTTTCTTTCGACAAGTACACACAATTGTGTAAATTGAAAGTACTATTAGACCTAATGATTCAATTTGGAAAGAATTTTTATTATACATACTTAAAAACCATTCACAAAATAGGACCTGATGCTCTGGATCATCTCCATTCATGGAGACCAAAAACTTCAGTAAATATGATTTCCAATTCACAGTGTGCTGGAGTGCAGTCTCATGAGAACACTGCCTTAAGAAAATTTTCTAAGGGTTTCTGTTAAACCCTGTAACACTTTACAAGCACTTTCACTATAAGCTGACATGAAAGATTTTCTAGAATGAACTTTGTGTATATCTTGAACCATTTTATCTGACTCAAACTTATTACACAACCTTCAGATGAAGATTACAGTCTTCTAGATTGTACACTAGTTGGTCAGGTAGATAAATATAACAATCTGGAGGAACTTGCTGCCTCCATCTTCAGGGTATTGTAATATGTTGGTAACTATAGTACTATGTGGACCACACTCCATGATACCCTATCTTCCTATTCACCACTGTGAGAATGTCATATCATACAAGTTTGAAACTACTCAAATGTATTGGTGGTTCAGCTTCAAATACATTTCTATAACACCTTTGTATCTCTTTCCCATTCTCAGTTTTCCAACAGCCTTATGAATCCCACTCAAAGTCAAACTCAAACTTGAAGTCCCACCATTTTAATCCATAAGGAAATGCCATGTAGCTGAATGCAACAAAACAGAACACAACACCAACGACATCTAGCTACATTATTATGTATCACTGCTTAGTATCATCTCACTACATGTATTAAAACAAATTATATGAACATTCAAAGGATGCTTACATTTCTTAGACACTCAGTACATGGGACATACATACCCTCGCATATATGTTACATCTTCTGGCATCATATGGAAAACAGAAAATGGTAGACTACGGGAGCAAAAATTATAAACCAGCATGAGGTTCTGAAGAGAATCAGATATTTTAGGTAAATAGCTGACGTTAACATCCGTCCATGGCAACTCCTCTGGACAGTAGAATGATACTAGTGTAGCTAAACTAATTCCATCACAGAGATCTGTCAGTTCTCGGACTGGAGGTATGTCTGGTGCACGCAGTCTATCAGCCTGAAAAATAAAACAATCATGTCATAATGATCACTTCTAATTTATATACAACTAGAATATGCAAGAAGGGAAGTGCATGGGACTGAGTATGGGATGGAACTGAATAACCTAAATCAAGTATTTGGTTATGCTGATCACAATCTGTTTGGAGAAAAAAAATATTGTGACATATATTCTGAAAGCTGATGCACACTGCTAGGCAATGGCACAATAAATGCGTCTCTGTGACAGCAGTGATATCATGCAACAAAAGAACTGTCGGAAGCAGTGTTTTCTGTGTGGTCCGCCACAGCAGCTGCATGACTCGGCAATATAGTAGCTGCAAGAAAAGATGTTTTCTGCGAATTCTTTCCTGAGGCTATATAACTAGGACCAATGGGACAAGCAAGTCAGTGTGTCAGGACCTCCACTGTAGCCCTGCAAGTCATAGGAGGTGCCAAAAAGGGAACCCAGTGCCTGGGGGAATAACTGGGCCACCTTGTTCCTGGGGGATATAAATATGGGAACTATAATGTGAGAAATACTGCACTGGTGAGAGCCAGCATCAACTGTATTGAACAGACCCGCCCTCTTCTCATAGAAGTTGCCCACACCAACAAACCTGAAACTGTCTGACACTAACAAAAATTCTGATCTTGGGCCCCAGACACCAAGAAACTGATTGACCATCGGTCGTAACACCCCTTGGACTTTAAAAGGGTAGATTGCAACAGTCAGAAGTGATCAGAGACAATGGACTAGTCAGGTTCAATCACATGGAAGAAGTCATGTCAGAGTGATTATAGTGATTTGAATTGTAATCGTGGACAAGTTGTCCAATAAAACAGCATCCTCTAAGCCAAAACTCATTAATTATTTGTCGTGGAACATCAGACACATGACAATATGTAACTGCCATACTTCAATCATTCTGTTTCCTCCTGTGTCAGACATTTACTTCGGTAATGCTGAATATCTGTTGCAGAGCAAGTGATGGTCTTTCTTGCACGCTTCACAACCATTAATTTAATGTTCACTTCATAGCAGTACCTCGTATGATATATGTGGTACTGCAGAACCTCTCTTATTAGCATGATCACCCATGAGTTGCTATTACACTGTTGTGCTCTGACACAAATACATGTGGATATAATATTGTAACGTTTATCAATGGTTGCAGCATTTACTATCTCACTGATAGCAACCACTCATGATCCTGATGTCAGTTCTCTGTAAACAAATTCTTTCACTATAACATCACTGCAGCATACACTTCTGGAGTCTTCTCTCAGCCTGTACTGAATTACTTATAAATCAGACAGCCATGCTATTTCACATCTGTTTCTCTCTGCACTACATGCATGTCTGTGCTACACTGGCCTCGCATATTTGCAGACTTCACAACCTCGCTACACTGACTTCACATCTTCATTGAGCTGCCCTCACATCTATGCTAAAATGGCCCCATGTCTTCGCTATCCTGCATTCAGCTGGGCTCAAACTAAGACTGTTCCGTTTGACTCTTGACCCAAGTTTTATACAAATTGTAACTTTGAGAATATTTGGCTGCCTACACAAGAGACACGGTTTGAAGGAGTGGTTTCAGTATTTCAAGAAGTGTGACCATACCAGGTAACTCCTTCACTACTCATTTAGCTCCCACAGTAATATGCACACAGTTAAAGCTTCACCCTTTAAACTGCTGCTAACACTTCAGGCCTACAATGCATCAATGAATCAACTACATAATGCAACACTGGTTTCACACACCAATAAACACTTCTTTGACCCTGAAATTAAGGGCAAAAATGCTATGAAAAAGACAAACTGCCCATTCTAAAACCAATACTTGGAGCCTACCACTGGTAACATAAAAAGACTAAATCTGGTGCAGTGTTTTCTGAGTGTGCAAATGTAAGATAACCCTCATTTTTTCTGATGGCCAGGCTTTAAAAAAAGAACTCATTTCATACTCAGATAAATGTGGTACTTGGAGTCTCCACAGTTTTTAGCTAACCATGCCACTCCATCTCTCCATTGCTGTAGATAATCAAAAGTTCACTATACTCAGAAATATCTCAGTGACAACTGCTACAAATTCCATATGAAATGTTATGGGACAGAGCTTCCACAGACAAAAGCTAACATCTGAGTGGGCCGTAGCAACACCTTCTTGTTGATGATCTGCGTATCTGACAGTTTTCACTCAAACAAGTGCAAATGTCACATAAAATTCTGTTCATATTAATTGAAACATTTCTTTCATAACATGTGGTTTGCAGTATCTCCCATTCAATACGAACCCTTGCAGGAACTATCTAGTTACCTCTCCGCTCCTACCACCACCCTGCTCCAGCTCCTGCTCCACCCTTCGCTTAAGAGCTGAACAAGCCTTGTTCACCCAGAGCACCAGACCTGCTTCATGGTCAGCCGGAAGTGGCTCAGGATTGGCATCTCGGGAGTGGCCAAATCTTTGGATTGCCGCTACAACTCGATCAGGTGTCACAACCTCCTTTGCATACAGCACCATGATGGCTTCAATTACAGCCATGTGAGCACTCTAGAACAAAATAAGAAACGTATATTTAATATATCCCTCCAGGTCCGAGGCTTCTTGAGAATTTTTGTAACAGGCTTATTCTTTATGGCAAGGAATTGTTAGCCCCAAGCCCGACCCCCAAGCTGGATGACCACCCCTTGTCAGCTGTTTGTGACTGATTATTCAATATATTTAGAGCTACCCTCAATACCTGGAGGGCAATTCCTCCATCTGCAACCTGAGGACACACCATGCTGCGGTGACAAGGGACCCATCTAACATAGGACATGCGCAATGAGGAGCTTCATAACTTGTACTCTTCTCCAAGTATAATCAGAATGATCAAGTGAAGGAGGCTGAGATGGGCAGGGCATGTAGCATAAATGGGGGAAAGAGGAATGCATATAGGATATTGGTGGGAATGACAGAAGGAAAGAGACCACTGGGAAGACCAAGACGTAGGTGGGTGGACAATGTTAAAATGGATCTGAGAGAGATAGGATGGGATGCTATGGATTGGACGGATCTCTCTTGTGAACACAGTAGTGAACCTTCGGGTTCCATAAAATGTGGGGAAGTTCTTGAGTATCTGCACAAGTGGCAGCTGCATGCAGGGGAGACCCCTGTTCTAAAGTGTTAAAGAAAATTCAGAGCAAGTAAATCTCTTGAGGTAATGCAGAATAATCATTTTGTGTGTTTGGCAGTATGTAAAGGTATTGTACTGCCTAATGAGATCCAGTGGATACTGTAGACCATTACATTGCTTTGTGGAGGATGTTCTTAATTGAACTATTTCACATTCATATAATGACACATTCTTTCTAGCAATACATTCACTACACGGCTTCCAGCTGCTTCAGTTTACCTGGCAGTACAGCCACAAAAACTTTTAAGATGGAAAGCAAAACATTCAGAACTAATTTTAGTTTACCTCCAAGGTAGTGTTAGCAGCAATGAGAAAGATGGTGCATATACAAAATGTGAACCTTCCCTCATTTATACCTATCACAACACTCTACACTCTAATTCTTGTGGTCAGAAGGTGTGAAAATTAGTGAAATTTATAGAAGAACTATAATTCTACACAATGATAACTATGAAATCCATAGGAAAGTTTAAGAATGGGGTTGAAAGATTCAAAGCAGGGCAGATGAGTGTGTTTATGATGTATATTCTGGGTGACCATCAAATATAACACATTGATGTTAACATGCAGATCAATGAGTGTACCCAGGGCAACCTAAGATTCAGCACTGATGAAACTGCATCTGAAACAAGCATGTCATGGAAATATATGTGGCTTAGGGCTCAAACAAAAGTATTCTGTTGATGGAATATAGGAACGTATGAACTGTCAGACCAACTGCAATGAAAAGTTTGGTGCTTATGTATAAAATAACATGTCTTCATCTACAATGTATTATTGTATCTAAACATATAATTAAAATTGCCTGTATTTTTTTATTTACCTCTGTATATGCCTAAAGTGCAACAACAATGAAATGAACATACAACTATCAATCACATCTACAACACAAGAGGCTGATGTATCATTCAGCTTTTGGGGTACAGACATGATGAAGCTAAATCACAAAGGCCAAAGCTATACATCAGACACAGGACAAGAAACCTGCCCATAAACTCTGTAAAAACTTATATATATATATATACACAATTGTGTATACATTTAGGGTGGCACTGATTCCTGTATACAAAAGTATTCACTGAACAAAGCTAATGAAGCTGCAGTAGGAGTCAATGACATATTGACATATCTGCACTGTTATGTGACTCTGAATTTAACTGTAGATAACATATGTTCGTACACAATTAACATCTGTTTAACTGTGTATGTTATGAATATGTATGTCAATTTGCAGTCCTGAACAAAACATTAGCATTACTGATCAGTGGGTGACAACACAGCTAAGACAATTAATTTCTTTTTCTGAAAATACTATCACATGTTAGTGACCAGACAAAGAGTTTTAATTGATGATTGGATTTAATGGACTCTTATAACTCATATTTAAAAGTAATTACAACCATTTCACAAATCCATGCACTCTACAGACTGCTGTAACACAGCATGTGTGAAGTCTGTTAATAACCGTCATTTCTTCAGATTGCTTTTCTCAGATAAGAAGATAAAATTTTAAAATAAATTCAAATACATTAACATGGCGTTTATTTAAAGCAAAGAGTTCAATAGAATTAAAAAACTAATGAAGGAAATTAACTCATCAGTGCAACCTACAAGTACTGAATAAGAAACAGCATGGGTTAATTAAAAACCTGGCATACACAGGCTTATGATTTGAAAGTTACAGGGACAATGTAACAAATTTCAAAATAGTCATACCTATGTCACTTGTAAGAGAAACTTGTCTTGTATGAATGAAGAGAACAAATCATTCTTCTGTTTCATATCATATGAGATGAAGCAGATCAAAAAGTGATGAACCTTTGTCTCTTGGGCTGCTTTTACCAATGGTCACAACATGCTTACTCAATATTACAGCTTGCAATAAATTTGGTTACAGCAAAAGGTAAAAGCAAAAGTACCTACTCCAAAACACCACTCCACAGAAGGTATAAAGTTTACAGAAGTACAGTTCCATGCCATTTAAACCTTTACTGACTGAGTTATCTTAGCTCATAACAGTGTGTTTAAAAATGGCAATTCTGAAAAGATGCAATAAATAAATATAAGAAGGCTAAAAAATATCAACGCAACAAAAGTTCAACAAAAAGACAGCATCAAAAGCCCATGAGATGACACAGCAGAGTTAAAGATTTCAATGCTATTATCACGCTTAATCAATTGTTATTAAATGTGTAGAAACATGAAAAATACCATCTTCTGGGATGTGACACCATGTAGTTTCATAGATCGGTACCAAAATCCCTCTAAAACCTTGGTATCCATTTACCAAACTACATGGTGTCACATCCCAGAAGACAATAATCTTCACAGTCACGGCCATGAAAACCTCAAATTAGAAACACATTTCATTCCAAAATGTTCTGGTACATTGGCTGAGAAACACTACTTTAATCAACATAACTTACCATCTTAATTGGAGTGGTTTGAATAAGTACAGTCTCTGTCAACTGTGCATCTGGAGGCTCTGCAACTGACACACCTTTTCTTGCCAGAGCTTGGATGATACCACAGTGGTTAAGGTTGTGGTAGTTGGGGTCTGAATAGATGTTTGCAAGACCAAGGCAGTAAAGCTCTGCACTGGCAAGTGAATGGACTATTTGTGGTTTCAAATATTCTTGATCCTAAAAGGAAGGAAACATAACCACTTACAAAATATAGCGCAATGAATGTAGACATCTTAACTAGAAACTTCGTAAAATTTGTAGGTTAACAAGTTTTTCCATAACCAAAAACACCTAATTTCTCTAGACTGACAGTAACATAAAATCTCTCAATGTTTCCCCAAAATGGAAACATACAAAATTTCCTATAAAATGACAAAAATGTAACGTCTACAGATTTAATACAATTATTGTGTTTCTGGACATTATCCATCATCCTGTTTCATTTATTTAAATCGCATAACGTTTCAGAGACTGGATTCTGTCTCCGTCTTCAGGTGAATCCTACTCATTTGGTACCACTCAATACAGCTAGTCCCTTATCTCCGGATCCTAGCACCAAGACAAGATAGGATACATAAACCCAGCACAGCAGAAACCATTTGTGAGAGTTAAGACAAACATTAAAAACATAAAAAAAAACTCCACACATGAGGCCTAGCACCTGTTTCCATGCACTATTTCATGACTGCTGCTGTTAAAAATTTCAGTGCAATCAAAACAGAAGACATCACTAAAGAGACACCAATATAAAAACATAATTTCACACACAATCTACACTGGACAAGCTGCAGTTTTCTGACATCTGCTGTGATAATGGGAGTCCAGATAGGAAAGATGTCCAACCTGGGCTGACTGATCAGATGATCTACCAGAGACATGTGAGCAGATTACCTGTATTTCCTGTAGGTGGTGTCTGGTTCAATCTGTAAAACCTTCACTCCTTTCCAACATATTCCATGGCATTCTGTGCATGCATGTTGGGTTGACTGAAACGGTTTCCGATGTGTCTCAAATTCTCACAGATACCCTTAACATATACGACAATGACTGTGTCCATCTGAAGAAGAACAGTTTCTTCTCAATTGCTTCATGGAGTCAACAAATTCTTGTGGGTATTCATCAAGCATCAGATCATGCCTTGTGTTCTCAATTTCCTTGCTGGAATCCTTCTGATCCTGGATCTACTGATCAAACTATGACTGACTCCCTTTTTCACTTGATGTTGGTGATTCGACTTAAAGTGCAGATAACCTGCATGAGCAGATTTCTGGAACACTTGCATGATCCACCTAGGACCATGAAGATAGGGAGTAGCTCTATCAACTGAGCCCCACTGAGTGGGTTCAACCTGAAGATGGAGACAGAATCCAGTCTCCAAAACTTTCTGTTTTAAATAAAAAAACAGGACGATGGATATGTCCAGAAACACAGTGACTGTATTAATATGTCATTGTCACAAAGTTTTAGATCTTGTCTACAGGTTTGTCAGTTTGTCCCCAAACTAGAAACAAAACTCTCCACAAACAACAATGTAACAATAACAGGTCCATAAATCTGTCCCCACAAACTCCATAAAATACGCATGCTAAAGTATCCTTCAAATATGCTTTTTCTGTACATCCCACTAATGGCTCTTCATAATTTCCACTGGTGAAAACTGAAACCATTAATTTTACACCGTGCTTATATTCCAGCAAAGGTTTATTTGCAAAATGAAACTGTATTAATAAAAGAAGTACACCAGCAAATGTTGGTAAAAGATTAAATGACAATTATATGAAGTGGTAAAACTGGGTGACAAGGCTATAAGATATTACAGAAAATAAACCATGGTCCAAAAGCAAGCAACAGAACTCAGTGAAATGTACAAGATTCTTATCCCAGACAGTACTATTTTCTACTGCAGCACTACCCGAGGTGAACTATAATCCTACACCCTTCTCATACTCTTTATTGCTAGGAGTGCAATTGCAGTAAAGTTACCAGAAAATGCATAAAAATATACATAGTCATCTATTCTTTGTAAAAATTCTAAAAAAAATGTCATTAGTTAAAAAAAGGCAGTCTCAGATTTACAACTAAACTCCAATATTTTTCAGAAACATATTCCTTATACTACGCGTTCATATGTATGCTTTTCTTGCACGGATATAACATCACAGGAATAACTAAAAACAAAGCAAAATATTACCTCCTGATCACGATAGAATGGTTCCCTTAAGTTCTCTGGAACCTTGTTGTTGTATGCCTTTGAAAGAAGCCATTTCACTGATGCCCTCTGTTTGGCCTGAAAAAACAAATGTATCACTTCATATTTTATGCTTACTCATTATTACAGATATAAGACCAAGCAGGATGACAGAGCGGTGATGGTCCAGACTCATATTCAAGAGTGTGCTCAAATCACATCTTCGCTGAGACATAGGCTATCCATGACTGAGGTTCTTCATGGTTCTCCTCATTGACTGCAGTAAAATTACAGGATAACTACCTGAATCAAGCCACAGTTGTTTTCTTATAATACCTTTCCAGTTTATCATTAATCAACCACTGTACCATTCTACCTCTTTATATCATGATTTTGCGCTGCACTGTGATGATAATACGAGAACATATACACAGTTTTCTTTGCATTTGTGTCCAGACTCACCTCCTTACTAGTGCCAATTAGAGTTCCTATGTTTTTCTTTATGGTACCTATGTTATCTCTTAATAGATATACATCATCATCATCACAGACCAGTAGCTGATGTGCCCCACTTAATTCCAGTCCCATCTGGTTTTCCTGACCTTCCTAATGAAATATTCTGAAGCAAAGTTAAAAAGCAGTGATGATAAGGCATCTCCTTGTTTTAGACCATTTTGGATATGAAAATTATCAGACAAATGTTTACCTATAAAGTCTTTAATAAAGGTTTCATTTAAACACATTTTAAGCAGCCTAACTAGTTTCAGGGGTACCCAAAACTCTAGGAGAATACAATACTTCCCTCCTAACTGAACCATAGGCTTGTTGAAAGTCTAAGATTAGCTGATGTACTGTCTCACTGGACTCCCATCTTTTTCTCCAATATCTAATGAATGCAAAAAAGAAAACTGTTAATCTGTTATGTCGAAACCCACACTGATTATCCCCAATAATCTTGAGAGAAGGATATTGGTTAAAATTTTGTATGAAGTTGACAGAAGTGATATCCCATGATTATTACTACAATCTGTTCTATCACCCTTTTTGTGAACTTGAACAATAATAAACTCCTTCCATTGATCAGGCAATTCTTCCTTATTCCATACAGAATTAATGAGCTTTTGCCTCCTGTTTGAATTACTTCTGCTGGAACTTGATCACAACCTGGCGATTTGTACCTTTTCAACTTTGCAACAGCAATTTCAACCGGAAAAAGAACTAGGATCAGGTTCTAACAGCTCAGATGTATGTACTTCTATCTGCCTAACATCACTGACCTTATGTACATTCAATAACTGAGAGAAGTAGTTTTTCAACCTATCCAAAATGCAGTGGGAATCTGCAAGCAGTCACCATTTTCATCCTTAACTAAATTACTTCTAGGTTGGTAACCCCTTTTAAATTCACTTATTCCTCTATACAGGTCTCTAATGTTCTTGTTCTTACTGTTCATTGCAATTCATAACTATTAGGCTTATTTTGGACTCTATCCATCGTCTGGTATATAGAAGACAAAAACCACAACATTTCGGAAACTGGATCTGAGGACGGAGACAGAACCAGTCTCTGAAATGTGGTTTTTGTCTTCTATATACCAGACGCTGGACAGAGTCCAAAATAAGCCTAATAGTTCTGTACAGCATACAATCTCATCAGAATCTTTTCAAGTCTATTTGTTCATTGCAAGCTCATTAATTTCATCTTTCAGATATTCCCTCTTTTTATTCCTGAAATGCATGTCACTAAAAAAATAAAAACCCTTCCAGCAATTCTCATCCTAACATTTTCCAGCATCTCTTTTCCTGACAAACTGGTATACAGAAATTGTCCTCATTCCCTCAACTATCTGACCATGCCCTACTGGATGGCACCTAGTTCTTTCACGTCTCATTCATTGCCCACTGTCAGACCCACATAAGGGCTACCTAACTTTGCCAAAGGCATTAACCATGAAGACGGCAACTGCAATATTTGCTGAGAACATAAATCAACTTTCTACATAGCTTATTCTCATGGGCAGAAATTGTATATTAAAATAAATGAATTAATATACTGTCCCAGTTACTTAACTGGGACAGTTAAGCAAGACTGTCCCAGTCTTGCTTAACATCAACAGATCTTTACATTCAAGGCTGTTTTCATCAGGAAAATGTGAGTACAACTGTCTTAAAATATACCAGGAATGTTTCCACCCACATCCATTCTAATTTCTTATTCACAGTCACCTCAGCAACCGCAAAACTAATTCAATAGAACAGAATCATTTTTTGGAATCTGACAGTCGCTCAGCTAGTGAAGAGATTTTCTATGGAACCACAACAGTCCATTACTATGTTGACACCATAACTCAATACTGGAGTCCTTTAGAAGTTGGTATCCATGTACCCGGTCAAGATATCCGCCATATTTTATGAAATTCAAATGTTTATTACCGTGTTCACAACAGATTGCCACTGGTCCCCATACTGAGCCAGATGAATCCAGTCCACAATGCTCCATCATATTTCTTTAAGACTCGGTTCAGTATTATCCTCCCATCTATGCAAAAGTCTTCATAGTGGTCTGCTTCCTTCAGGTTTTCCTATAAGAACTTTTTATGTATTTCTCTTATCCCCCACACACGCTATCCTGTCTATCTCATTCTCCTTCATTTGATCATCCTAATAATATCTGAGGAACACAAATTATGAAGTTCCTCATTACATAATTTTCTCTAGACTCCTGTTACTTCCTCCCTCTTAGATCGAAATATCCTGCTCTCGCTCTATCTTGCACCATATGAATTCGGCCAACGCCCAACATCCAATTACTTCATGATCCACTTCAATATACAGCCGAGGAAGCGTCGTTAAAATAATAAAAATGATGCATTTCGACGTCACTGAATAGGTGTGGTGAGAAGAGACTTGTATTTGGGAGGTACCCAAATAAAATCCTGTTCAGGTTATCAACTATACCGGTCACAATTTTCTGTGGTTCTCCTCAAGCACTCCAAGCGGGACATCTTGAAATAGGCCACGACTGCCTCTTTCTAAACTCTCTGCCTACTCGCCATTCTTGACCACCTTTATTTTTCATACATTACTACACATAACAACCACAAATGAAACGGCATCATTATACAATAAAAGGAACAATCACTTAGATGCTGCTTTTAATAATATTTAATGCAAAATGGGGCTTAAAAATTAGATTTCAATGTCTCGTAGAGTATCTTGAGCCAATAAATATAAAAACTGGAGATCTGGTATTCTAGTAGGAAACTGGTAAGTGGTAATACTCAGTCCTAATTCTCTCGAATGATATCAAGCCTGGACACAAGGTTGGTCAGCTTCCTACATGCATTCACCTTGCACTGCAACATCAGAGCTGAAGAACAGCCTAAGTGACACTGTTTCCACCTGTTTATTCTTCTGGCTTTAGAGCACATTAACAGAGTTAAACTGAAAAAATTACCATGAATTAAATCCGTGGAATAATATGAATATTGTGAAGTAAAGCAAAACACTGATACAATAATGGCGAATGTGAGACATGGGTGTAGCATAGAAGTGTGCGCTTCAATTTTCTATGGTCGCCTTTATGCCTAAAGAATGGGATGGGCTACTGGTGCCGAATTTTCAATATCCTTGCAAGGGAATAAATGTATCCATACAAATATACAGCCAGTCATTTCAGTAAATTTCAGTATGTGAAAGTGAATCCTTAGTTTCAAACCTGTATCACCTTGAAGCCCACGAAAGGGGCTTCTGGTATCGACTTTCCAATCCCCCCTTAATAAGCCTGAATCTGCCAGTCCAAGTCATCTGACTTAATCTCAGCACTAGGGAGAAGCACTTAAATCCAATCTGAGGTAGCCTTTAAATCTGAAGAAGACGTCCTCCAGTACAATATTTCCAGTGCCCTTAACTAACTTGTGAAGCAGTGCGCCCTTCAGGAGCTGAAAGTACCTCAGCTGAACAATAAATTCTACAACTCATGTAGAACAGAGTCCCAGCCACTGGACGCCATCCTGGGCAAGCTGTCTTATTGCTTTAACACTACGCCTGGTCTCCCAAGTGGTCTCTTCCTTCTAAGTCTGCCCTTACAATCCCATGTCCCTTTAACTGAATCTCGGCAGTGGGCAGTAGGGTGTACCTACATTCATGCTAAGCCCACCTTCACGCGCGAAGGAAGGGCCTCGGTACATAATTTTCAATGTCCCTCAACGAGACAGAATCTGGAGACATAAGCAAGCTGTGGGATCTTCACGAAATATGAGAAGGATGTACTAATTCCCACACAAATAAGTAATCAAATTTTTGTTCCCGGTTCTTCCAAACATGAGTAATAAAGAAATCGTACATGAACTCCAAAGGCGGCGCTTTTCTTTCCGCATAAATATCCTAATATGACTTCACGACACGTGACAACTGCTGGCCGCTCAGACGAGGGCGAGCTATCTGCCTTGTATGGCGATGAGTAGTGAAGCAATACTCGAGCCGCTGACCACTTCGCTTAGAAGCCGCTCCCATCCCTACTCCATTCAACAATTCCCTTTTTCCTCCCCGGTTGGCCTTCCTTATATATTGAGTTCGTCAGTTCAAGTTTACGATCAAATAGCAACGATACGGTAAGGGGGGAGCGTACTAACCAGAACCATGAGCAACTGAATACGACTTAACCTACTTTACTGCCACAAGCAACACAGATGGAATAAAGCGTAAGTTTCCATAAGTGGAAAATGGAAAGTTTTGTTAGCAGACTGTGTGGGCATTTTGGAAGCCGATACAACATGCAATAAATCCACTGAAGGTCACACCTACGTTCATCTCGGCTTCGTCTTCTCTTGAATGAGTCCATCTATATAATGACTGGATAGAAATACTGTGCCGCAAAGTTGAGTCGTGGACTGTATGTGAGTTACACTGCGTGGGGTTCCTCATGCGTGAGGTAATCACAGTATGAATATTGAGGCGTTGCACCAAAAGGACATCTGGGTCTCGAATATGTGAATACACCAAATCGAAACCGCTATCATCTACTTTCTATGGAAAATCACGAGAGGCAAAGTCTAGGTGCAGATGCGGGTGTGTGTGGGACGGACAGCCCTAATCAGC